CTCCGGCATTTCCAACTCTGATTGAGTGATTGGATGATCATCATCCCTACCCTCATCTCCCTCCCCAGCACCTTCAGAACCTTCCATGGCAATAACCTCCTCCGCGACATTAAGCTCCTCCTCAGCTACTAAAGATACTGCTTCTAGCTCCTCCAGGATTACATCCGTCAATAAATCCTCGTTTGCTTGCAACTGCGCTGCTGCTTCTACTGGAACCTCAACAAGTGCGGGCATTGGATCTGCCATCGCTTCCTCCGGAATCACAACTGCCGCAGTATCTCCCTCATCCTCCTGAAACAAAGCTTTCTGAACCGGTTTACGAGTTATAATCAACTCTACACCCTCTTGCACCCCATTGTTGGCCCTTAGTTGAGCTAAAGCCTCAGCTTCCGCTTCATCCGCTTGTCTGCGTTCATTATATTGAACATAGCTATGGTATCGGCGAGGACGACGGACTGGTTCCCCATGTGGATGTTCAGACCGAGATCTCTGACCCATCACCTTGTCCTTTTGTACCCCTTTGGATGAACCCGCTGCTTCCTTGCTCCATTTCTTATCATTTACTACCGCCCCTTTGAAACTTTGAAATTTTCTATCCCCTGTTACCATACCATTCCCATCATCACGACCACTGCCCGACTCATGCTCCACCAGACCGCAGTGAGACTCATCATGGCAGAGACTGAAGCAGACTCGGCAATAGCCAAAAAGTCTTTCATACCGCAGTGAAACCCTAGCCACCTCTCCATTGTCAAACTCGACCTCTGTTTCAAAACAAAGAGGTCTCAAACCATCAATCGTAACTTGAATCCGACCCAAATCAATATCCACCTTATGAACCAAGCCAATACCATCACCAACGCTCTGAAACGTCGGTTCAGCCCAGAACTGCAACGGGACACCCATCACCCGAACCCAGAAGGTTAAAGAAGAAGGGTATGATGGATCGACCGAAGGCTTCCACCGCACTAGGGAGACCATCCAGTGGTCGAAATGAAATGGCTCATTCTTCAGAACCGCTTCAATATCTTCCTCTCTATCGAAGTCGAACTGAAACTTGCCAAGACCCAAATCCGCCCCCACAACCCTCCCTTCCACTTGCCATATACGGGGCAACATGAAAAGCAATGTCTTCATATCCTGCAAACGAGGATTCAGACACCGACCTATCACCGTATTAGCATAACCCGCTATCAATGCCGAATTGTCAAAATGAGGAACCTTGACTCTTTTCATTGGCATCACCGAACCAGATTTCTTCCCCGCTAAACCTTTACCGAATTGAGAGACTTGAGACATCTCAGAGCCAAAGTAAAACCCAGAAACGAACAAGAGGATCACCGAAGAAAGGTAAAACAGCACTAGAACCAGATAAACCAGATAAACCAGAGATAGAAGAAAGGAATCGCTCTCAAGAAGATGAAACAAGGTGTGAAGCGTGGCAAGAACTCGTCGACGATTCCACTCTTTATACCCAACCGAAATTCCCAAACTTGGAGAGTACTCCGCATTTAACCCGATCTGTCCAACTTCGAGAATAAGGGAACGAAGATATCGTCCATCCCATTTGCTTTCCATAATCGCTTGATTCCATTGCCTACGGAATCCTGAGAGAATCGAAATTTTCCACTTTCCATACGAAAGAGGAAATGTTGAATCAGAGATTCGCTCTTCGTAATCCCACCATAATCGTTCATCGCCACTGATTCTGCTTTTAAGACCTCCCAAAAAATGACCCCCATATCGCCAATCTTCTTCGCTTCTGAGGATCCTTTGGAATAAAAGATCTTCCTCAAATCTTTCGATAGTAACCAAAACCTCTTTAAATACCAAAAACCAAGTGAGAATAAAAACTGTATACCATCGATCCCTGATAATAACCACTCTCAGACCGCAGATCCACCGAATAATGACCAAGATCTCACCAAACATGAAAGGGTTTCAAAACCCTAAATCGCCATCCGCCGCCCCCTCTCGCTACTTCCTCCAATTCTTTTTAAGTGATTATTTGAGTAATTTAACGTCAACAAAAAGGATGTAATTCTTTTTCTTTTTAAATAAATGTGAAATCTCTCTTTTAATATATCCGGCAACAAAATTAACTAATTGGTGGAATTGACTCTCTTTGACTATAAAGGCTAATTAAAGGCAAGAAAAAAAAAAGATGCTCAAATAATAATTAGCACTAACTAAATACTGTACAGTATTTGTTTAGTGTCATAAGTTGTCATTATTTATTTTGCTTAATCAAGAAATCATCCTCCGATGGATCCACCGTGGAAGGTACCACCGTTTGCACTTTGCACAAGTTGACAATCGGTCATACCTTAACCGAACCGGTTTGGTAGACCAACAAATCTTTGAAAACAGATATTCATAACTGGAACGTATAAATTTAAACATAGGTATTATCATACACCAAGTCCACATCTAATATATATGGTTTTCTAGAGTTAACGGTTCACTTGATAAGAGAACAACACACCCGATAATATACTTGCCTAAGTAATCACAACATACCAAGGATGATGATGAGAACTCAACATTATATAATAAGTTCTGCTGACCGGTTTAGATGATACTTAATATAACTTCGATTAGATGATTGAGATATTGGTCATGGTTCTTTACTTTGAGGAATATCCCGGTGCTGGTGGATATCCTGGTGCTGGTGGATAGCCCGGTCCAGGAGGTGGGTAGCCTGGTCCAGGATGTGGGTAGCCTGGAGCAGGTGGGTAACCATGACCAGGAGGTGGATAGCCTGGAGCAGGAGGGTAACCATGGCCAGGCTGTGGATAGTAATGTTGGGGATAACCAGTGGCTGGAGGGTAGCCGGCATAAGGAGGGACTGGTTCATCAATCCGGGACATTTGCTGAGCCGGTGGTACTGACATTGGTTGAGAACTAATTAAACCATCTCTTTTGTCCATCTCAATCTTGTGTTGTGTCTAAAAACCAAACAAAACACTTTGGTTTTTTGCTTACTATAAGAAATAGATGTGAAACAAAACTTGATTAGTTTACCTGCATACACGCACAAACCCTGCAAAAACCAAGACCAGAGTACAGAATCAGCATTAATAAACATTTGGCATGAGTCCTTTGTAATGTAGCCAAACCGATTCAGCAACATGGAAAGTGAAGAAGGGATTATTATACATACGTGCAATAGACCATATCTGCCAAGCAAGAAAGAAGCTGAGAAGCTTCAGAGAGTTCATCACTTCCAACAATGCAAGCGACAAGAGAGAAAATGCAAGCGATTTGGTTGAGGCAGAACATAAATCCCTGCCAAAACAACGAAAAACAATGGTAAAAACGTTAGCACACTGAAAGATGTATTCGCCGGAAAGCGAAAACAAAGAGGGGGAAAACTAGGGATTACAATGATGCAATTGTCGCATTTTGTTGTATGGATGTTGAATTCATCTTGCAGCATAAAACGAGTAGATGCTACAGAGTTTCCAAAACAGAGACACACCTGAAGATCACAAAAAAAAAAAAAACAAAAAAACATTTCAGGAGAAAGATTATATCACAAGAAACTAAAGATTCTATCACAAGTTATATCATTTTGTTCATCAACATGAACACTAAGGAAATTTATCTTGTACCTCAGTGGCAAGACAAAACTGAGGGCATTTTCTTTCTCCACATTTACCACTACATGGCATGTAACCACCACAACAAGTGTACCTTCACCAAACCAAAACAACATAATAGCATTTTTTGATAGAAACATAAGAAACAAAAATCATTCCTCATATAGTAGAATTCAATACCTTGACATGTCATTGTATAGTGCTCTCTTCCGAAGTAAGTATGAAACACAAGGTCCACTACAATCAAAATGAAAAGCAGATTTAGATGTGAACCAAAAACATACAATTAAAATTAGTGACAAACACATTTGTGTATCCAACACCAAAGGTTCTCATCTACTACAAGTAACAAAGAGACACATATTAATGAAATCGAGAGTAATGACACTTACCACAAACACGAGAAGAAACAATCTGCAGAAACCAAAGAAGAGACAAAAAAAAAATTCAATTCTCTAACCAAATAAATATAAGTTTTGGAATACAGAGAGAGATAATTTACAAGGAGTATCGGCCGAGACGGTGCTCATAAGATCAGAGTGCCATAAATTCCGGTAGCTTTGCCGGAGTTGCATCTTATCAAGCTTATCCTGTGATCTCGCCATGATTTTGATAACTTACACACCAAAACAAAATCACAAATCCCTTCACCAAAACAAAATCACAAAATTTACCAAAAAAAAAGTAAAAAAAAATTCACAAAATATCAACACAACAAAATATGAAATTTCTCCCTACTTTTTTTCTTTTTGTCCCAAAAATTTCAAGCATACACACGCTTAACAATTCAGTTTTTTTTTTTTGTTCTTTCTTTGCTTGATTTTGGTAACAAACGAAACTTTACAAACTTCTTTTACTCTCTCGTTTTCTTTTTTTTGATGAAATGAAAGATTTTAAAATTTAATGCCTGGACTTAAATTTCGCTCTTCTCGACTTTTTTTTTTAATTATTGGTTGAATGAAAACTCTTTGACCCATTGGAAAAGCCGAAATTTCAGAATAATTTCTTTTGTTCGTTTTGACAAATTTAACCCTTTATTAAAACTGTATTTTAAAAGAGTTTGCATGCATGGTAGGGGAATTTTTATATTTCTTTCCTATAATGGAAGGTACATTGAAGTCTTGCAAATGAGTTTATAATACATTGTAAGATGATTTGTTAGGTTAAGACAAGGTCACTTTCCATTGTGTAGGAATAGGATGGTGTGCCCAAAAATATCAAAGAATAGTGGTGTTCCGAATCAAGACTTGAAGACTTGTATTCCTAGTTGGACCAGATTCTGTAACGCAGTTATATAGACTGTAGGCACTAGGCAGCCTTGTTGCCTCATAGGTTTTGAAGCTTTGAAGGGTCATCATACATAGCTTAAACACATTTCAGCTTCTCTTGTTTTAAAATTGCTGATACAACTTCGACAGGTACTATATATTTCTTTTGCGAGCATCTTTGTGGTGCAATAGAGTCTCATTTGCAATACATAACTTAATTCTTTCTCGTGAAAGACTTTTATTAAGGTGAAGGTTCCTTGTGTAGGATTTAGTTTTGTTTTCTGTATATAAAATATTAGCTGCAAATAAGTTCTCTTTCTCTCTCGAATATTTTCAACTACACTTTTAAAATATTTATATAATCTAAAAAGTACATTTTCAACAGCAATGCAAATAGCCGAATTGGATTCTAAAACGTAAGATTTGAATAGTAATATAAACAACCAAAAGGAGCTTTGCTCACATCATACATCAAAAAGACAGTGAGACTAAGTAGATTCTAAAAACTAAACTATTTGGACGTAAGCATTTTGGTTAAAAATGTAAGAATACAAAACCTTATGGCATCATCCATAAAATAAAAAACATATAAGGACATATTAATAATACTCAAAAATCTCCGCCGTTATATATACGATAACACATCGCCCTCCAGACAAAAGAAACTTCACTTGTCATGTCTTGGTTCTGAAACAGAGAAACCAAAGAAACTTCAACAAAAAAAATAAAAAATCACGAGTTGTATTACTACAGAAACAGAACATAAACAGAGTATTTTTTTACTTGTTCATCACGTCAAAAAATAATGGCTGCTTCTTCAGATCTTTATATCTTTGATGGTTCATCTTCATCTTCATCTTCAATATTCCGAAACTCTAGTCCAGATATGTTTTCTTCAGACACAACAACAACAACAACAACAACAACAACAACAACAACAGCTACAGATCTGTTCTGTAACAACGAGCTTTACTCTGTTGTCGATGAATCACTCAGCATTTTCGACCACTTCACCCCACAAAACATCCTCTCTTCATCTCCTCCAAGTGATCTCCTCGGAACTTTGACTCTCTCTCAGCAAATTCCCACCGGAATATATCCTAATTTCTCAGATTTCCAAATCTCCGACGCCGTCAAAACAGAGAACTTCTTCGACGGTCATGATCAGCCGTCGTCAATGGCACGAAGCTACGGTGCAATAGAGAATGCAGGGAGATATATGCAGAGAAGCTTTAGCAGCAACTCGGTCGAAGGGAAACCAAATCAGCTCCCGTTCAACATTCCTGTGATGGATTCTTCAACTCTTTACAATACACTGAGCTCGCCGGAAAATGCTTTCTTTTCCGGTCAGATGCGACGAGTCTACAGCACAGGAGATTTACAGGTCTCTGTTTTTGTTGCTCTGTTTTTTTCCTTTTTAACGTTGCACTCTCAATTTTACTAAAAGTTTTTGAGTATTTATGGTATTCAGAACAACTTCGAGATGCAGAGATCGTCGGAGAACTCGACGGCTCCGTTATCAGACGAACATAACTTTAAGGTGGGACGTTATAACGCAGAAGAACGTAAAGAGAAGATATCAAAGTATAGAGCTAAACGAAACCAGAGAAACTTTACCAAAACTATTAAGGTAACAATTTTATCAATACATTTTCATACTTTGATTCATTTATTATGATTATAAACTTTTTTTTTTGTTCTTGTGTGTTTTGGATGGAAACAAAAAAAAAAGTATGCATGCCGGAAAACATTAGCGGACAGTAGACCACGAATACGAGGTAGATTCGCTCGCAATGACGAAGTTGTAGACATCTCTAACATTGAAGATGACGACTCGGAGCTTTGGGTAAATCATATTCAAAAACTAGTTATTTTTTTATTTTCTTTCTTCTTCAATTAATTATTTAAAATTTTAAAATCCAAAATGAAATGATCAGATATATACTAAATTTGTACTTCAAAATTTAGAAAATAAATGAGTAATTTCATAAATTTAAATAAAATGAAAAAAAAAGATTATTCAACTTTTTTGTAAAAATAATAATATACTACCTTCTGTTCCATTTTATAAGAGTTTTGGCTAAAAGCAAAAAAAAAAAAGAAACAATAAATATTGTATCATTAAACAAAATTTAATCAATAGGAAAAAAACTTCAGAATTTAAATTAATATAATAAATGCATAGAAATCTGAAAAAATCTTATAAAATGGAACAAAAATAAAAGTCTAAAACATTATATATTGGAAGAGAGGGAGTATTAAACATATATAATAAACACACTAGTTTTGTCAAAGTATGTTATGATTGATAAAAATGGATCTCTAATGTATTGAAATAATTAATGGTGGACAGAAATTGGATGGACTGCATGAGAAGGAGGAAGCTTCTATGAGTATGAGTAGCTTTGTGGTGCAACAGCCTCTTTTGCAATACTCAGCTCCTTCTTCTTTTTTCTGGTGAAAGACTCTTTAAGACGACGATGGGGTTCAATATTTTATTTTAAAAACTTTCTTTGAAAGAAATTAGCTATATAAAATGGTTTTATCGAGTCAGATATATATCAGATATTTGAATGGAAAAATTCCTGATATATAACTCGATTTGATCATTTAAATGTATTGTACATTGCATTAAGAATAACAATAAAACATAATTTTTAGAAGGATGTAAAATATAAAAATTACATTGTTTTATTTTGTAATGAAAATTACTTGTCAGATGCTATCAGTTGTCCTTACCTGATTTGTGTGAATGTTTAAATCTAATACCACTTTAGTTTGACCCGGATCGAAGATTCTTTTTAAATGATGTTAAATTTTTATAAGAATTTTGATTAGTGGACACTGAAAATTCGATTTTGGATGCTCTTTAGTCTTTATTATGCAACTATATTATTTTTAATTATCCCAACCATAGAGGATCAAGATCCTCTCTTTGGTCGTGTTAGTGTACAAAAAGCTTAGGGAATAATTATTACAGTTTACCTAAAGTCAAATGACCCACTGAATATACAAATCGACATCAAAAAATTTTGTGGAGAAAAAAAGTTAGCTCACAAACCCTAGCTGATTATTTTGTGGAGAAAAAAAAGTTAGCTCACAAACCCTAGCTGATTATTTTGTTTCTTGATGATATATATTTAGAGTTTGAAACAGTCTGATCAAGCGGTCCATAGGCAGATTAGAAAACCATATTTGTGTTTACTTCTTCTTTTCTTTTTGTTGGTCCCGTTTAAGCAAATATACTATGTATTAGTTATCATGTATATATATGCGATTTTAGTTAAGTTTCTATAATGCAAGAATTAAAACAAAACGATATATAAACGAGTTTGACTTATGATAATATTAGGTGGATATATATATATGAATATGATGAGCGACATATTGATAAATGATTAAGTGCATGAATGATGCCAAAGCAATGGGCAACAACACAAAAACTCATTGTTATTTTGCATGCAAAGTTCTTTCGGATACCCTCAAATTAATACTATACCCCCACAAAAAACAATGTTATTGCTAATCAAGATTTGATAATTAATCCACTGTTTAGGAGCTCACAGCCATGCCAGGTGATTATCAGTAACATATGTTGGTACTTTATGTACTCGAATATAATTCGACTTTCACCTATATGTGCAAATGGAGAAACTGACCAGTAAACTTTGTTGACAAAAATAAAATAAAAGCTAAGCTATTTATATATGATCACTATATCTCCAATCAATTAAGTTTCTTTCTCCTGTATTTAAGTAGTAATGCAACTCTTTTTATAAAATTAAGAACACTTGAGGAAATACACCTTTAACATAATTGGCAATTTGACTGAATAAAAACATCTCTAATTGGAAAAGATCGATAAAGAAAACAAAAGAAGCAACGGAGAAGCTCACATGTGTTTTTTATCTCTTGTATTTTAAATTGTTTCTTTTTCCATCGTGGAAGGAATAGAAAAACCAAAAGGACTGAAAAATATATATAGCACTTCCATTAATCTAATTTTAAACAAGAAAGGTACTGAATGAAGTGATTTCAAATCCAACGGACATAAATATTAGCCAATATATAATACTAGTAAATCATAGAATTAAAAATAATAATACAATTTAATAAAAAAATATCACTAATTATGACTTAGCACACAAAGTAGCTTCAAGTTTCAAAAAGATTCAAGTATTGGGCGGCATGTTCCCCCTATATAGTTAGTAAGTTGTCACTACACTAGCTTAATAATAATCAATTTGTTAATTTATGTGTCTTTTTTTGTATTTGAGCTAAATTAAATCAAGTTGTTTCTTTGTAAAAACCTAGTGGTTTGGCTCGATAAACTGATATAAAGTAAACGTTAAGTTACAAGATTATTCATATGACAATTGTCAAATTTGGAGTTAAGTCTTTCTGATGAATTAATGTTTTAATTTTCCTTAATCTATATAGCAAATAAAAGACTTACATAATTTTTATTTCAGGTTTTCTTTTTTTTTTTCTTCTTAAGAAAAGGGAAATTATTCTCATTTATCTTTTATTGTCTTCGTTATTCGTTTGATGCTTCTAAAAAGGCAGTGTGTTCTCGATAATTCCAGTCGGATATATTTGTACAAATCAAGTTTGTACAAAGATGAGGAAACAAAAAAATTTTCTTTTTCGAAAAAGAGGAAACAAAATATAAAAAGAAGGTTTTAATCTTTATTATCTTACAGGAATATCTGGGATGCCATGATAAGAAGAAATTACACCTGTACAATCTATCTCATCATATCAAAGGCTCAAAGCAATAACATATAGACAAATAAGAAGAAAATTAATCGAAGAATATATAGTATTAATTATTCTTCGAGAATACTGTATTATAGTATCATTTACATAAATCTATTACATTTATGGGATTCAGGTCATTTATATACATTTCTGGATCTTAAGTATGATGACAAACTTTAGTAGCACATTTTTATTAAATCTTATCACCAATTTTATCATTAGTATGTGTTTTCCGTAATAACATGTAAAGGAACGACTTACTAGATATATACATATAGTACATGGAAGAAGAATGATGGTATACATGCATACCTAATAAGAGCTAAGATGCATGGTCGTATCGCATCTATGTTGACTATTTCTTTTCACTCCATAGTTCAAAACACAACGTCTTCTTTTCTCTCTTATCTTATATTTCATGTACATGTTTTAATGTACATGATGCATGCAGACTAGTTTGCAATGTAGTGATAAATCTTGATCTTATGATTTTTGTTTTGTAAGTTCTGTTTTTCGGGTAATTATTTAAAGCAAAATCATATGTAACTAATATGAATCATATGTAAAGGTTTTGTCGGCAATCGCAAGACCTTTTATCGGTTATGAAGGTAACAAATGTTCGACAAAGTCTTTCTTTTATGGGATTCATAATGAAATGGAAATTCTGATATGGACGATGAGATGTATGATAGAACATAACTACAAAAACTGTATTTTTTTTACCAACTGTTCAGATTTGGTGAAAATAGTGTTTTCTCGTTCCGATTAACCGACGTTCTCTGTATATCTTTTCTTTATCTTTTATTTTAAGAAATGTAAATATAAAAGCGGAAACTCGTAACATTACTATTCTGTTTTCTATTAAGTATGTAGACAATTTTTCTCCTAATAAACTCTTATGAACTATTTTATTCTAGTTTATTGTTAAAAAAAAAGGTTGAAAAAAATAGAAGAAAATAATATTTTTTAACATTAATTTGGTAAGGGAATCTAATATATAGATTCTTATCTTCGAGTACCATATGGTTAATGGGGTAAATAAATCAATAATACTTTATCTGTATTGGGCTAATGATAATATATAATCAACTAACCAAAGCATGATTCCAAAGTTTTATCTTTTTGACCAACCGCATTATATACTTTCATTGATTTATTTATTTTTCTTTTTTTCTAACCGTACGTGCTTATAGAGTGTGTTTTTTTTTCATCTACAGGGAATTTAGCATTCATAAAAATAAATCTATAATAATTGTTCATTTTTATTTTATTTAACAATAGTTTGATCAATTGTAATTGCACATCAAAGTAGATAAATGTGATTATTCGTCCAATAATTAATATAAAATATAAAATGTTATACTATTTTCGGTTCTAAGATTCGAGCAAGACTATAAAAATGATTGTAAATTTTGAATTTGCAGGATCAAATGTTTTGGGTGAACGTTTTGTTTTTGAAGAACGTGTTTGAACATTACGAAAACCATATATATAATTTGTATTGTCTTTTTCTTATTCATTAGAGAAGTTCCCTATAATTTTGGTCCGTAATCTCATTTAGATTTGAAACCTTCATTTATTAAATTACTAATAATCGCACTTGGATTCGAATTAATATTTGCATGTTGTCACAAAAAGGAATGTCTCGCATGTGGGATGTGTCAAAAAAATGAACTTTTTGTGTGAATTGTGTGATCTTAAAGGAAGTAATGATGATTTGAGCTCAAACACCGTTTTGGTCCTTCTTTACGGAAATAAATGTTTTATTATATATAGTCAAGTGGAGCATAACAAAGAGAATAATAAGTAAAACATTTTTTTTCCGTAATATCATTATAATGTAATTACACAAATTTAATAAAATTTCGTTGAAAAAATGCTACCTAGTACCTACACAGACCTTTGTTTTTTGGTCTAACTTTAAAAAACAAACAAAGGAATTGAAGGAAATATGAATTATTAACAAATAATATTCCTCTTTTTTTTTTTTTTTGGTTTACTTCTAACAAATAATATTCCTCTTACGTGGGACGAACCTTATTATATTCATTCTATTTTTATAATTTTTTGTGCACATAATATTCATTAATCAATTTTTTTTTTAATTAATCAATTGATCTTAATTAAACATTTGTGTTGTTGCTTTGTAGGGGTATATATTCTACCAGCTTTGCTCCACAGTTGCAAACTAGCCTCGAAAAAGAAATACACATAATACTAATAAACTTACATATTTCAGAAATTTTCATTCGTAGTATGTACTCGTTTTTTGAATAACTTAACATCATACAAATTGAGTTAGTTTCAAAAGAGTCTAGAGAGAAAATTAGTTAGAAGACGTGTGGTCCAAAGACAAAAAGTCTTCATTGAGATTCTTCGATCATATTGCTATAGTAGCAAATAAAACAAAAGACTATTTTAGTAAACAAATTCTTCTCTGCTAAAAATAGAAACTTATCGTATATGCCACCGTAACGTATTAAAAGACTGCATTCTAACAAGTGTTTTTTTTTCCAACTTTCTGATAATTATATATACACATCATTACGAACGTCAAGATACATCATTAATAATTTTCACAAAGCTGAGTAAGAAATATTATAAATCCATAGAATTGGTGACAATATAGTTTACCACAACGATGTCTGTACTCTAAATTTTGTAATTTTGAAGGTTGTACCAAAATAGTAGGAGACATGATATGAAAACGTTAAGTTATCATAATTTTCTTAATTTAGATATGCATCAACTACAGAGTAAAAAAGCTCTGCAGAGCACAAAACAGATAGTAGCCGGAAATGAGCTTCTCTTGTTCTCA